CATATATCACACCTCCTTCCAAAATAAAATAATCTCCTATATCCTCCTAATCCCATATATACTCCCATATTCTTCCAACTCCCTCTTACTCCTTTTCCTAATTCCCTATATGCCTTTTTCCTATATAAATATACTTTCTCCTACATATTTTAAACCTTAAAATCTTATATTCTTAATATCTATATAAAACTTTACTTTCTTATCTCTTTATATTACCTTTATAAATCCATCCTCCTTTATTTTTAACTTAAAAATATATTAAATACTAAATCTTCTTTCCTTTATTTATTTACCTATTTACTTATACCGTATATCTATATACCGGGTCCTATCTATATTTTAAGGGTTTAGAACTATAATTTCGGCGCTTTTACTATCGGTATATAGTATATATAGCTTCAATTATAATATACTATAATCTCTTAATATTTTTAATACTTATTATAGTAAATACCTTATAGGCGTTAGGTTAATAAACTTTATTTTTATTATATTTAGGGTAACGAAGGTTTATCTTTTATCCTTTTATAATATTAGTCCATTAATTACGAAAATAATATAGCCGTTAATAAAATATTCTTAAAGTAAAATATCTATATATAAAGTATTTACGAATCCTATAAACTTTATATTTTTTATTAAGAACTCGGAGCCTCTTAATATAATATATAGTTTCCTAATAGTAATTAAGTACCGGAAAAGGTATTTTATTAATTTTAAATAATATAGTAAGGGCTTAAAATTATTTCTATAAAGGCGGTTAATAATAAAAATAATATCGGGCCGAATATCGGTAAATAATTAGTTTAATATATTAATTTTCTAAATATATTTCTTTACTTCCGCGGTTATTTTCTTTTATATAAAAGGGAGCTTTAGTTTAGTTAATTACAGCGTAGTTACGTTAATTATATTTTTATAGTTAAACTTTTCGAGTAAAGTATCGATATAAGTTACTTAGGATAAATAAATTTATTTTTTCCCGCGGTTTTTTATAATATTAAAACTTAAAAACTTTTTTAATTCGTTTAGTTTTTTAATACTATATTTATTTTTTAATTTAATAATAATATTTTTAATAATTTTCGTTATAAATATTAATATAAGTAGGTTATTTATATATAGGATTACTAAGGTACTTATTTTTTTATAACGGAATAAATAAAGGTTTAATAAAAGGGTATTAAAATTTAATTTAATTATTATAAGTTTTATTATTTTATATTAATAAATAAATAATTTTTTTAAACTATATAATACTTTTTTAAACTAATATATTTTATTTAGTAGTTTACTTAAATTATTTAATAATTATATATAGTATTATATAGTATTAAGGATTTTAATATTAAAAAATATTATTTTAAAGTTATATTAAAAATATTTTTAATTATTTATAATTATAATAATTTAAAAATATTTAATTATTATATTATTTATAACGGTAGTATAAACGTTTTATATAGTTTAAGAATTTTTATTAAAATTACTATATATTATTTACTTTACTTTAGCTTTTATTTTATTAATTTAAAAATTTATTTTCTTATTATATATTTATTTATTCGGTAAAACGTTATAACTTTTCGGTATATTTATTAACTTATAAACGTCCTTTTTTAATAAATTAGTATTCTATTCCTTTATAGTAAGTAATTAATATTTATAATAATTTTTAAATTTCTTTATTTACCGGTAATTTTTAAGTATATAAGACTTATTAATAGTTTATAAAAAATAATTAATTTTAACCGTAAATAAAGTATAGGTTATTACTTTATATAGTTATAGGTTATTAAAATATATTATAAAAAAACTTTAATAAAGGTATTTACTTTACTATAGTTTTTTATAAAAACTTAGTCCTTAATTTTTTATTATTATTTTACGAAGCCGCTTTTAAGCCGGCGGAGAAATTACCGCTTCCTTTATATAATTTATATTAAGCTCGAAATTATTATTAAAGTTTTTAATTAAGTTTTTTATATTTAAATTTAGTAACTTACTATCGGTTTAATTATTATTATACCCCCCTATAGCTTTACTCTCTTCCCTTTTTATTAGTTTTATAGGGGAAGTAAGCTTTTTTATAATAAAAAAATTAATAATATAAGGTATTTAATTATAATTTAATAAAATAAGTATTTTCAATTATATATCCTTTATTTTTTTAGTGTCGAAAAAGTTTTTTACGTTTAAAGCTTTAAGTAATAAAAATAGTATTAATAATAGTATAGTTTTCGGAATAAATAAAATAATTTATTTAGGGTCTTTAGCCGTTCCTATTTTAATTATTAAAGTACTTTATTATAGATTAAGGGGCACGAGGTGTCTGGCTTCTGGTTTTAAATCGGTGTATGCGAGCGGTTATTT